GAGAAAAGACGAAAGTTGTCAAAAACTTCATTTTTCTTGAATCTACAATCAACATTCATGGAAACAGCATTGAAAAATCAAAATAGTGTATTACCTTAAGCAAATCTGCTTCACAAGACCTCTGTAAAGTGTTCAAGAGCAAAGATACCAGTTTGAGAACTAAGGTGTGCCTGATTCAAGCGTTGATATTCTCAATTGTGTCATATGCATGTGGAAGTTGAACAGTGAATAAGAGATACTGTAGAAGAATTGATATATGTGAGCTTTGGTTTTGGAGGAGAATATTAAAAACATCATGGACTGCCAGAATAACAAACAAATCTGTGTTGGAATAAGTACAGCTAAATGCTTCTTAGAAGCCAGGATGGCAAGACTTCTTCTCTCATACTTGGACATATTATTTAGCGGGAACAGTCCCTGGAGAAGGACATCATGCTTGGCAAAGTCGAGGGTCAGGGAAAAAGACTAACAAGATGGATTGGTGCATTGTCAGCAGCAATGGGCTCAAATGTAGCAACAATTATGAGGCTGTCCCAGGACAGAGCAGTATTTTCGTTAGTTGTGCATAGGGTTGCATGAGTCAGAGCTGATTCAATGGCACTTAACAACAATTTCAACTTAAAGTTTATTCCATTTTCTGTGTTTAAGTTTTATTAGTCACAAAGTGCTGTGTAACAACCATAAAACTTCAGTGGTAATAGACAGTAAACATTTATTTGCTCATGAGTCTATAGGTTGATGGAATAGATGTATTGATATTTGTTGTTATTAGGTGCCATCGAGTCGGTACCGACTCATAGTGACCCTGTGCACAGGAGATCCTGGGCCAACCTCACTACTGTTGCCACACTTGAGTCCATTGATGATGCCAGTTGGCCAGTCCATCTCACAGGGGGTCTTCCTCTTTTTCTCTGACCCTCCACCTTACCAAACGTGTTATCCTTCTCCAGTGACTGGTCCCTCCTGACAATATGTCTGAAGTATGAGAGACAGCTTGGCCATCCTGGCCTCCAAGGAGCACTCTGGCTGTACTTCTTCCAAAATGGATTCATTGGTTCTTCTGGCAGCCCATGGCACTTTCAATATTCTGCAATACCATAACTCAAAAACATCAATTCTTCTACGGTCTTCTTTAATCACTGCCCAGCTTTCGCATGCATATGAGGTTATTGAAAATACCATGTCTTGGGTCAGGTGTACCTTAGTCCTCAAGATGACATCTTTGCTCTTCAATACTTTCAAAAGGCCTTGTGCAGCAGATTTTCCTAATGCAGTAAGTTGTTTGATTTCTTGACTGCTGCTTCCATGAGTGTTGATAGTTGATCCAAGAAGAAAGAAGTCCTTGACAACTTCAATCTTTTCTCCTTTGATAAGAATGTTGTTTATTGGTCCAGTGGCGAGGATTTTTGTTTTCCTTACATTGAGATGCAATCCATACCGAAGGCTATGCTCTTTGATCTTCATCAGTAAATGTTTTAAGTCCTCTTCACTTTCAGCAAGTAAGGTTGTGTCATCTGCGTATCACAGGTTGTTAATGAGTCTTCCATACTGATGCCACGTTTTTCTTCATATAACCCAGCTTCTTGAATTATTTGCTCAGCATACAGGTTGAATAAGTATGGTGAAAGAATACAACCTTGTTGCACACCTTTGTTAATTTTAAACCATTCAGTGTTCTCTTGTTGATATAGTCCAAGATTAATTGATTTTGGTAGAACTTGCTCCTTAATCGAATTGGCTGGCAAATATGCTTGGGACTAGCTTACTGGTGGTCTAGGGTGGCCCCGTTGTTTGTGGTTTCGCATCCTCCATCAGGATTCCAAGAGTTTGAATGCCATCCAAACAAGGCTTGTTGAAGACTAGGCTTTTTGTTGTTGTTGTTAAGTGCTGTCAAGTCGGTTCTGATTCATAACGACGCTGTATAGGATTTCCAAGGAGCGGCTGGTGAGCTTGTACCACCAACTCTGCATGTCAAAACGACCTTACAGTGCATCACATTAACCTGTGGCGCCACACCAGGACAATCCTAGGGTGTTGTTGTTAAGTGCCGTTGAGTCAGTTCTGACCCATAGGACCCTGTGTTGGGTTTCGAAGGAGTGGCTGGTGAGCTTGGACCGCAGACCTTGCAGTTTATACTGTCTTTGGAGTCCTGCACATTAACCCACAGTGCCACACCAGGACTCCAGTCCTAGGCTAGGTACATCAGTTTGATTCTAACTAGTAGCGACCCTCATATCAAATTTCCAAGGCTATAAATCTTTACGGGAGTAGAAAGCTTCCTCTTCCCCTTCCTCTTGTGGAGAGCCTAGTGGGTTTGAATTGCTGATCTTGTGGTTACTGGTCCAGTGCTTATTCTGCAGCGCCACCAGGGCTTATAAATATACTGTATTGTTGTGCTGTTGTTAAGTGCCATCGAGTAGGTTGCAACTCATAACAACCCTACCCTTTAAAGGGGTTTAGAGGAGCAGTTGGTGTGTTGTTTAACCATTGAGTTTTTGGTTAGCAGTGCAGTGCTTACCCTACAGAGCCACATTGTTGTTGTTAAGTGCCATCAAGTCAGTTCCAACTCATACTGACCCTGCATAGAGTTTCTGGGGTTTTGTAAATCTTCAAGGGAGCAGAAAGCCTCGTCTTTCTCCTGAGTAGCAAATGCAGGAACCAAACCATGGACCTTATGATTCTGAGTCGAGTATTTATCATATGGAGCCACTGTGCTCTCTCAGTGCCATGTTGTTGTTGCTAAGTGCCACCGCGTCAGATCCAATTCATAACGGCCCTATATAACGTTTCCGTGGAGCAGCTTGTGAGCTTGAACCGCCGACCTTGCAGTTCAGAAGGCTTTGCAGTATGGCGCATTAACCCACAGCTCCACACCAGGACTCCAGCATCATGTTGTTGTTGTTGTGTGAAGTGCCGTTGAGTCAGTTCCAACCCATGGCAACCCTGCATAGGGTTTCCAGGGAGCGACTGGTGAGCTTGAACTGTCAACCTTGCAGTTCAAACGGCTTTGCGCTTTGGTGCATTAGCCCACAGCGCCACACCAGAACTGCCAGCACCACATTAGAACTCCTCAATATGCTTTACAGGTCACCTTTTCCTCAAGGAGTAACTGGCAGATGAGAACTGCTGAGCTAGCAGTTAGCAGCCTACTCTGCTCCCAGGGCTTCTCAATATACTCAATGGTGGTAGTCATGGTTGTGTACTGTGGTATCGGTTCTGACTCATAGTGACTCTGTATAGGGCTTTAAAGGAGCAGCTAGTGAATTTGAGCGGCCAACCTTATGGTTCACACTTTATCCTACAGCACCACGCTAGGACTCCAAATATACTCTAAATATACCCTGTGTTGTTGCTAAGTACCGTCAAGTCGGTGATACTAAATGCTGGGCTTTATGATTTCTGGAGTCTGTGGCCTAGTTAAGGTATATTTCTAATTTCAGTTCACTTTAAAGAAAGAGTAGCTTAGCTGTCAGTAATATCAGATGGTAATACCAACCACTGAGCAGATTACCTGACTCACCTTCATCAAGCCGCAGAAACTGTGCACAAACTTTTGGGTTCCTTGAAGTAGTGGTTGGGGAGCAGAGTGTGAATGAATATGTTTTGTGTAACAGGCATGCTACCAGGCACTTTAAACATACGGAACCTTCAAAAGTCGGAGTTACAAGATCATGGAATTTTTCTATGAATGTTTTTGAAGACCCTCATATATTATTTAATCTTCACAACAGTCTTAGGAAGTAGGCATTATTATCCTCGTTTTACAGAAGCCTGGAGAACTAGCTAACTTTCCCCAAGTTTTTCGTAGCTACTTTAGTGGAAGATTAAGGGTTTGAATCTAACTTTTTAACTATAAATGAAACAGTGATTTAGAAATTTTATTCTTATATTAGACCCAATGTTTGTGAGAATTAAGCAAGAAAAAAATGCATGCCCAGTAGTAACAAAGTACTTTAACTGTCGGTATTACTAATAATAGCTGTCAATCATGTTCTAATCGAAGTACACCTAACTAACTGTTCAAATAACAGCAAATATATATCTGGGAAGTACTTTACATTTTTTTCAGATGTTTTGGGTGAGTTATGTTGAGTATAACTGTTGATTTGTTCTTTAAATGTATTTAAACAGTTATTAAGCCAACTTAAAGGAAACTTAGAAGAGGAAAATCGACATCTGCTAGATCAAATTCAGACATTAATGCTACAAAACAGAACACTATTGGAGCAGAATATGGAAAGCAAGGATCTTTTTCATGTTGAACAAAGACAGTACATGTAGGTATTAAATGATTTATTATTCATGATTTCATCAATACCATACTCAATAGCAAAGACAACTTAATGTTAATTGTTATTGAATTTGAACATCATTCATCATTTCAACATGTATTTCTTGGAGTGCATATGTGGGACTCATAGAAATATTGGGGAATGGTTACCTTAGACTGGGATTGGCAAGGAGTTCCCAAAGATGACTGCTTGATCTCTGAGACTAAAAGGTTCAGTGGAAATTTGCATAGGAAGTACCAGGCCAAGAGAGACCCTGTATAGGGTTTTCTTGGAACGGCTGGTGAGTTTGAACTGCTGACCCTCCGGTTCAAACTGACCTGGAAGTCCAGTGCATTATCCTGCAGCACCACAGGCCAAGAGAACGGCAGTTGTAAAAACTTGGAGATGTAATGATTAAATGTGATAATTGCCTTTGGTGATTAATTACCTCTACCACCCCAGATTCCCATCAAACTCATTGTAGTTGTTGTTGTTGTTGTGTTTTTAAGCACCATTGAATTGGTTCCTACTCATAGTGACCCTGTGCAGGGTTTCTGAGGAGTGGCTGGTGGGTTTGAGCCATGAAACCGTTCTGTTAGCAGTCCTATAGCACCACACCAGGACTCCATTGTAATTAGGTGGCTTAATCAGTTAGAGCAGTTCCCACTGTCAGATTTGACTTAGATAAAAGTAGCAATCAAAGAGTCTTCAAGGATGCTGAGTCTCCCTTCACAAATTGGTTCCTAACTGTAAGTTGAAGGATGTGTCATCTGGACATTCCATGAATTGGATCTGTGGGTCCAGCCTGATAAATTCTCTCTTACATTCCAATTGCTGTAAACCCTTTGGACACTTTCTTCTATAGTCTTCCAAGGCAATTCTAGCATTTTAGCTTTAATATAGGCCACTTAATCCATGCTTCAGTGGACTATCCTCTCAGGCTAAAACATTGAATGGAGAATTTGTGCTTCTTGTTGTTAACTGCCATTGAGTTGGTTCTGACCCATACTGAACCTGATAGGGTTTCCAAGGAGCAGCTGGTGACATTGAACTGCTGACCTTGCAGGTCAAACCAACTTTGCAATCCAGCGCTTTAACCCAAATTGCCACACCAAGACTCCCATTTGTGCTTAGTAGGCTCATATCAATAAACTCAAATTGATCTAACATTGTGTTCCTTGTACCATATCCCTGTAATAGCCATTCCCACCCATAATCCCCAGGTTTCTGTTTGTATATATTAGAAAAATCAAGCTGTAGTATGTACCTCCTCATGGGTAAACACTTGGTGCTTCACCTCTTGGGACTCACTAGAACTTAAGTTTAGTTATAATTCTAGAAGCAAAGATTAGTAGTTGATGGGGTGGATCTTAGGAACATTTATCAGTATGTCTTATAAGGCATCACCCAGACAATACCTCAAACATAGCTGGGATTAGTTTCATTAGATGGGGCTAGAAGGGTTTTACTGGGGAATGTGGCTTTGTAGACACAGCTGGAGTAATCTCTTCAGGTAGGAGTAAGAGGGGTGATTCTGTAGCAGGAGTCGCTCAAAAGAATTTAGGGCCACATGTCCCCAGTTTTCTCATTATCTTGTCATGTGTCCCCACCCCAAGTTGCAGAATCCAGTTTCTTCCCAATCAATGACTTCACCTTAACTTCAAACACAATTGAGATTGAAAATTCAGTTGGCAATTTAGTAGGCAACTGTTCCTTGGAAACCCTATACAGAGTCTCTTGTGAGTTGGAACCAATTAGACAGCACTTAAGAACAAAACCAACACTTGGGACAAGACTCTGAGTTAGATTTTTGGCAATATCAACTCTGTTATTACAAAAAATAAGGCTTTCTTTCAGAGCACAAACAGTAATGCAGCACTCGGGAGTCCTGGTGTGGCACTGCGGGCTAATGTGTCAGACTGCAAAGTCATTTGAACTTCATGGTTGGTGGTTCAAACTCACCAGCTGCTCCTTGGAAACCCTATACAGGGTCGCTATGGTTCACTTAACAACAACATGCAGCGCTTGAGCTGTAACCCTGAAGCCTTTAGCTTATCTCCTTGTTTCACCACTTTGTTTAATGAAAGTTACACCAATCACCTGCTTCCACATACTTCTCGTTCTGACAAAATTTAGAGACGTGTCATGTACAGTCACCCAGAGGCTTGTCTCTCACAATGTTTGATCCATTTGTCATGCTATTTTGCTTATTTCAGTTAGGCCAGACTTGAGAACCATTTCAGAAAACTCACCCTCAGAATTTTGTTCCTTTAGAACCATTCTCAGTACCAGATGTCTTAGGCTGGGTTTTCTGGAGGAGCAAAAGCAGTGGCACATATATAAAAATACACAAGGGGGCTTTAAAAAGTTCATGAAAGAATGATATTAATGAAACGAAATATGATAGGATGAATGTAAAGCTGATGTTCTCCCATGTAAACTATCACCCAATTCACACACAAAAAATTGATTACAGAACAACCATGTGATGTAGCATTCCTAGTCCCAGGCATTCAGAACCAGAAGAAGTGATGGCAGGAATGCAAAGAGAAATCTGCACACCATTGTTCATAGTAGCGCTTTTCACAACAGCCAAAGGTGGAGGCAAGCAAAGTGATCAACAACAGATCAATGGATAAACACAATGTAGTATATGCACACTGGACTACTACTCTGTCCTAAAGTGAAATTAAGTCTTGATGCATGTCACATCATGGATGAACCTTGGATTTACCATGCTGAGAAAATAAGTCAGTCTCAAAACTACACATACTGTATTATTTCACTTCTGTGAAATAAGGAAATATGTACTGTTTTAGTTGCTATGGGATGATTCCAACTCCAGGTGACCCCATGTGTGCAGAGCAGAACAGCATGCACACCACAGAATTTTCTAGGCTGGGACTCTCAGAAGCATATTGTTAGGCTTATCCAAGGTGCCTCTGGTAGAGTTGCAACTGCCAACCTTTTGGTTAGTATAGGCCAATGCTTAGTCATTTTTCCACTCAGGGACTCCAAGCAAATATATAGAAGTCACTGATTAGAAGAAGGGAAATTTTTGCTTAGGGGGCATTGAATTTATGTTGTTGTTTTTGTTGTGTTCTGTTGCGTTTGATTCTAACTCATAGCATCTCTTGTGACTGTCAGTCCAGTAATAATCCTATATCACCATACCTGGACTCCTGAATTTATAAGTTCATGGTGGTAGAATGTATTGATAATGAAGGCACAACTTAAAGAATATAATCACTGTCACTGATTTCTACATGTGAAAATTGTTGGGATAGCAGGGTTTTAGTAT